AATTCGTTAATAGCATTCGAAAAAATGAAGCAATCAAAACTAGCCAAGTTATCCAAAGTTTATCGAGTTATCGATTTATATGGAAATATATAAATTTTTGAGGGATCGAAATTTATCGATCCCCCGGGACGCACAGTTATCGCAATTTATCGAAAGTTAAAGGAAATAATTTCGTAATCGAATTTTGTTGTGATATCGGATTTTAGTGTGTTTGAAATTCGAATTCAAATTATCATATGTATAAAATTACCGAAATTTATCGACAAACTGAACTGTATCGGGTCAATTGCAAGTCCTGCCTAAGACATTGAAATATATAAAAAATTTCAGTGACGTTTTTGTACCAAAGTAGGAGATTTTCCTCAAAGTCAGAAAACCTCTCCAAGGCTGTTGAAAAAAAAACTAGAAAAAAGGCTGAATTTTGACAGTAACTGGCACTCCTCGTTTATATTTAAAGCATTTACTCTCGGGAGAATCTAAATACGCTGATGACTTAGAATTGGGCTGACAGAAAATCTTGGTTTTGCGACCGGTTTTGAAGCTTCCTCTTGCTTGGGGCAGAATTTTTCGAGCGAATGTGATACAATTTTCAGCGCGATAGGTCGAACAAATAAAAAAGAAAGCATTTATTTAATATTCCCTTTTTTGAAGTACCTAGCATTTCAAAATGTGGTGCTTTTCCTTTGAAAATCGGCCTCGTTCAAAACGGTTGGAGTCGCCTTGAACTTGTGGTAGATTTTGTATGGCCATTGTGGTAGAAAAAATATTTCTGACAATATTTCCAAACAAAAATTAAACGAAGTAAATAAAAACAACGCACTTTTCTGTAATTTCGTGTGATTTCTAATTATTTATTAGTTCAACTTACTTCCAGTCACTTTTATTCGCAAATTTAATTACAAACTTTCTTTCATTCTAATTCGCCTTCAATAAATTAATAAATATGCATAAGTATGTTTAGAGAATAAATATTTCGAAATGCGTTTTGAAACTTGATTTTTTGCTCGAATACTGCTACTAAATTTTTTTATATAAATATTTTCACCACTATTTTTTTTTTTTTTTTTTGCTTTTCTGCTCATTTTATTGCACCGTTCAACAATTGCATTTCGTTAGAATCAAGTACCCAATTTGACAATTTTTTTGCCGAGATCGATTAAAGACAGGCCAAAATATTGTCCAAGAGGAAAGCTGTCGATGTCCTCCGAACCTCCTCTACAAGAATCGTGGATACTTTTCATTTTTCGAACTTTTTACGAGACATACCGATTTGAATACTACTGTACTTTCATACAAGTGTGTGTATTACATTTCTGTATCACTAAATTCTCTTCGCTACTTAACAATGCTGCCGTTATTTACAATTACATTTCAGTTCTCATCTTCTTTCATTTTCTTACCACAACTTAAGTTATGAAAATTTTTGGAAAAATAAGAATTTCGTAAAAATTTTAATTCGCAAGCTAATGCCTTACGCTTAGTATAATCAGATTTTTTTTTATTTGGGGGTTTTGTAAACAATTTCAAAAGTTCATAAGTTTTTAATTCGAAATACATTTGCTATTATTCATACATTTAAGGTATATTTATAATATATGCACGCATTTAATGTTTTCTTTTTACCGACAATCAAATATTTCATGTAAGTGTATTTATTGAAATTCATAAAGGCAAATCAATGTACAAGTATTGTGCTTACATTTTTTTATTTCTTACTTCTCCGCGCTTTTCAGCTATCAGTTTGCGCTGTGGTTGGATTATACAATTAGTTATTGGATATGGGGTTGTTCATGCGAGTATCTGCTTGTGCTAGTGTTTTTTTCTTTCTTTGCTTTTTTTTTGTTTTTATAATTTTATTTTTGCTCCTTGAAAGTATTTATATATTTCAGCATTTTGGTAAATTTGTTATTCATTGGCGAGTGCGTCAGCAATAAGTAACCTGATTTTCTAATAAGTTTCAATGCATGCAAATTTTCAAATTTTGCTGTGTATAAATTCTTTTTTACGTACGTATGTATGTATTTATGTTTTGTATGTAAACATTCATTCTTTACAATTGTGAATTTTCCGTCCCTTACTTCAGATATGTGGCTTGAGATTCAAGTACTAACTATCTCGGTTTTGTTAAGTGGTTTTCGCGCAAAATCAGCTAAAGCGAATTTCAAATTTCTTACATTTTGGTAGAGATTTTGCGGCTCAGAGAAGTATTTGATATAAACTTTAATGAGGCGTTTCTTTTAAGTTTTTTTCTTAAAGCTTATTTTTTGCGTTTTCTACTTTTTTAATACCCCAAAAAAAAAAAATCCAAACAAAAGTTTTGAATTCAACACTTCGTGAACATTGTAGTTGAAGAAAATTGAATTTTCATCAGAATCAAAAAAAAATTATTTTGTAATTCAACTATAACTTTTTGATATTTTTAAATTTACTTATATTTTGGCTATAAATTTATTTTAGAGTGCCTTTTTGTAGCCAAAATTGTAAAATTGTGATACAAATTTTCAACTATTTTTATTGAGCTTGATAAAAACAAATTGTGCTAAAAATTCAAAAGGTAAAATTTTTTAATAAACAAATATTTCCAGATATGCAGTTTAAAAATTTTATGACATGTATTTAACTTCATTTTTCATCATAAGAAACAATTTTTCCCATATTTGTTTAACTTGTTTATATTGTAATTATAGATCAATTTTAATTTGATACAGATGGCAAAATTTTCAAAATCATAAAAAAATTCTAAAATTTTTTGGTAAATAGTAAAATTGTGAAAATAACATTTTTATAAATTTTTAAATAATACAAAATATGTGATATTAAAATTTATTGACGTATTTATACTAAAGTAAATTTTTTTATTTAAAACGATTCAATTCTGTGCCAATACCAGAAACACTTATGATATTTTAATAAGATTTTTTAGTTCAGAGCTGTTTTTTTTTAATTTTGTTATTAAATAGAAAAATTTTTGTTATTTTAAACACATAAAATTTCAAAAATCTCAGAAAAGTTTAAATATTTTGTTATTTAACACATATGTATGTATGTATTTATGTAGTTTAAAGCTGTTTTATTATGTAGTACATATTAGTTTGAATTTAGTGGCACGTATTTAGATAAATATTTTTTAATGCATATACTTAATTTAAGAAACAACTTTTATTTGTGCTAGCTGTGTAAAATTTCGTTTGTAGACAAGAAGAGTTTCGGCGTTGTCATATTCAGTGTCATTTTTCGATATCGAACAAATATTTGCTACAAAAAAATTTTCAAATTCAGTGATATTTTTTCTTAAAAATTTTGTTGGCTCAAAGTTAAATTCTTCATATTTTGTTTCCCCTTATAATGGTTGAAAGTGTATTTCAATTGATTTTTTTTTTATGAAAAGTAAAAAAAAATGTCAGTTTATATTTTTATTATAAATGTTTTCAGTGCGGAAACAGAATAAAAAAAACCAAACAGAAACAAAAAAATATAATTTTTAAGATTTTGTGAAATACAAAATATTTTGGACCTCTTTTTCTACTGGGGGTAAAAATTTATTTTGGTTATTTGTTTTGAGAAAAATATTTTTTTAATTGCAAACAAATTTGATAAACCCAATGAGAGGAGAGAAGAACTATGAAGAAAGCATTCACCAAAAAATTACCAATGACCAATGCGAGCCTTCAGCTACCTCCTCAGCATAGTTGTAAGTCATCCGGGGTCACTACGGCTAGAAGAGCTTTGGGTTTCGCCATTGTTTTTGGAGGATGCAACAAGCCAGTAGAGCATTGGGTTATTTATTTAGTTTAAAAATATGGGCTGTATACGGCTGTAGCCAATAGTAATTATTTGTACGGCTTGTAGCTCCGATTTAAATCTTTTATATATTTTTTTTTAACTTGAAGAAAATATGTACATACATACATACATGCATTTTACGTAATAACGTTATAATTTTTGATTTTTATTTACGTTCTATATTAATAAAATTTCCAAAAACATAATTGGAGAATAAATTTTTGATAAAATTTAAAAAAAGGTATTCATAGTAATTATATTTTTTCTTTGCTCGCAGAAATTAATTAGTTAATTAATGCAGACATACACCCAAAAGTAATTTCTTAAAAATAATTTGAAAAAAATATATTTACATACACCAGTATTTCATTGTACGTATTGTGATATATATTTTTTCTAAGCAAAAAAAAATTTTTTCCAATTTTTACGTACACTTTTGTATTAAAGTGAACATGAAAATCAAAAATTTTAAATGGTTTATGTAAAAATAAGCCAAAAACAACTTTAAATTTTTAGTGAAAATAATTTGAGGAAAAAATATTTCTGAACGTTAAATAGAATGGGCTTTAATTATTCAAAACCAGATATGTTTTCAATGGCCAAATGATGCGTTTTTCATTAACTTAACAAAAAAAACTTAATTTAATAAAAAAAATACCTTGAATTCTCGGTATTTTTTAATTAACCCTGGAACCCTACCCTGCTGTTTATATGGTGACATGTTTGTGGAGCATCAAATTAAAATTTGTGCCAAATGTTTTTTAAGCATATTTTATTACCCTTTTTTTTTAATGTGATGAATATTCAAAAACTGAATTTTTATTACTATTATTGAAAATATTACCCATGTAAGGTCAATGTCAAAATATGGGTAGTGTTCTAGGGTTAAAGAACTATCAACGAAAAATTCATTTTTGAGTGTACCTCCTCTAGCCACAAAACTTTGCCAAAATATGAACAAGAAAATTTCCTTACAGAGAATTAACGTAAGCTCGCTTCCAGTGCTTTGGCTATTTAATTCTATTTTCGAGTGATTAATTTTTTGTAATGTTTTTGAGCATGCCTATATAGGCTGTGCTTTAAGTAATTTGCATAGCGAAACTAACTAACTACATGCGTGCACGTTTCGAGATAGAATGGCGCATTTTGTTTACGATTTCATTTTATTTTCAATATTTTAAAGCTCCTACATATCTCAGTATATATATATATATATATTTTTTTTTTGTTCACATAAGCTCCACTTATGACGCCACTCCAGCACGCGCACGCACCATACGCAAGCGCTCTTGCAGATAATCACAAATCGAAGAATATTTCTGCTGTCGCGCCACCTGTAAAGCGGTTAGACCTTCATGATTTTTCTGTAGTATATCGCAACCGGCGCCAATCAGCTGCTTGCAAACGGTCAAGTGACCGAACATGGCCGCCGCATGCAATGCTGTTTCGCCATTCTTAAATGAGAGAGAGATTTACATAAAATCAATTTATTATTTTGAAAACCCTAAAAATTTCGTCACTCATTGCCCGCCACCTACCGGTAGTAACCCTAGATTAGGCCGGTGTTTCAACAGTTCGGTTACTACAGCCGCATGTCCTTTGTGCGCTGCCTTGAAGAGTGGCGTCGCGCCATCACAGCGCACAGCATCCACAAAGGCGCCATTTTGCAGCAGCACTTTGCATATGTGATCGTGTCCCATTTGTGCGGCTATCCAAAGTGGTGTGGCGCCATCTATGCGCTTCATATCGGGGTGCGCGCCGGCGGTGAGTAGGAGGGAGAGCACTGTACGATGTCCATTTTGGGCGGCTATGAAGACGGGTGTAGCGCGATCCTGGAAAAGAAAAAAAGAAGAAGAAATTTATATGTAGAGTTATGTTTTTGCAGACGTATCCATGTAGTAAATTAGGGTGCCTCACCAAAAAAAAATTCGGGTTTTCCACCGGGTTGTATTTTAAGATTTCCGCCAAAATACTCGTGTTTCGGATAAATGCATATTAAAACTTACGTGAGTTGGACCGGTTTGAAAATATCTCCAAAAAACTCATTTCTGATTTCGTTTACGAAAGTTACAAACATTGCCATACAGACCTTCTAATCTTAAACTCCTCTATCAACTGAAGCCATTTTTGAAGATAATTTTTTTTTTTTTCTTGTATAAAAAACTCGATTTTTGGACGTATTTTCAAATCGGTACCGTTCACGTAAATCTTAATATTTTTCTGGAATATTTTAGCGGAAATCTGAAAATATAACAGAAAATATACCGACCTACAGGCTCCATTCGCGACGGTATCGGTCGTCGGTCGGTCATTGTCATTAAAATTCTTACGTTCTGCCTGTCCGTCACGATGTTGTGAGATATTAAGGGAGCTCTACTACTTGTACTAGTCAGCAGTTTGATAGTAGCCTGACTCAAGTGATGGAGTCGCTTTGACTGTAGGCCCGGAAATCGATACAAAAAGTGGTAAATCTATTCCTTGCCATTTGGACCACGGTACCTTCTGCGGAATTTTCGTGGTATTAGGCATCGTTGAGTTTTTCCCCTTTTTCCTGAATAATGGCGCATTCTTTGATTGCCTTCAAACTTCATCATAATTTATTGTGGTCTAGGAATTTTCTATATCTGAAAGCTTTCTTAATCACCAGTGGGAGTTTTAATTATCTCATCCGAAAATTGCAGGAGTTACCTTTGTCAATTTGCTCTGCTTTTGTCAGAATTCAGCCGAACAGCGCTGCAAAAAGGTCCTTTAATCGCTCTCCAGCAGCACTTGGAGCAAAGACAAAGAAGAGTTGTTGGTATATTACCGGCCGACCATTTATAAATTATGCTTGGTCTCCGGGGACTAGTAGGACGCAACTACTGACCATTCCAAATACTGCACTCTGGACAGCAATGGCATACCTTCTGCAGTCGTCTGAACTCCACCTTTACAGCGAAATCGCCAGGGAACATAATTGTATGCTCAGCAAGAAATTACTGCTTTGCTATTAGCGCAGAGAAGGCCCAAACAGACACTTTCTGGAAGCAGAGTCCTCTCCTAGGCACATCAGAAAGCATCTCATCGAAATCACATTCGTAAAGATTCAGATATACATGGCTCAAGCACTAGACCGGACGTTGTACACACCAACTCTCAGCCCAAGAATGCCTTCATCGGAGATCAACTACCGCTCATCACAGACGAAGAGCTCCAGCTGCCTGTGGAGACCTGCGTAACTTTGCCACAACTAAGCTCTGGATGCTGAAGTTGACTAAACTCTTATTTATCTAGACGCGACCTCGACATACTCAGGCATCCCACACGATACAAACAACCCTTTTCTTTTTAGTCATACCCTGCCGAAACAACAACTTTACTGCACCTACCGTTAGTTGAGCTTTACGAGAGCGATTGATAGACGACTACTTTGGTACGACCTACCAGTGCCGCAATACCACTCGGTATTATCACTCGGTAGCACCGAAATTCGATTCCTCTGACTCGCTCATTATTCAAGTTTTTGTTTGAACTCTCGTCGCCCCTCGACGGGCAATGGCAAATCTCTGAGCGTAGTTCTGCGATCTATCTGCGTCTTATGCTAAACCGTTTGTCGTTCGGAGGCGGCGTCAAATTTGCGACGCACACCAAAAATTTGAGGATAATCTCAGCCAAACACTATACCCATGCAAAAGGCCAATCATTTATTCCCATTGGATGTGGAAAAAATATTCTTTACCTAGCTGCCACCTTAAACTCGTTTATAATATTGCAAACTTAGTAGGCAATTCCGATAGCCTACAAATTAAATTAATTAAATGCAATCTAGCTTTTGAAACTCACCTTCATGCACGCATTCACATTCGCGCCGCAATCCAATAATTCACGAACCAATTTTACATAACCACCTTGTGCAGCAACAAAGAGCGGAGTGCCACCGTCCTAAAAGAAAAATTGAAAAAAATTATAAAATATGTATATTAGGAATTTCCTTTAATCTGTAAAAAATCTCGAAATCTCTTCAAAGTTTCAAAATTTCTATTGAGCTGCTAAATTTTTTTTCGAGCTTCCAGTTTTCCAGTTATTGAATTTATTGCTGGATTTCCACGCGTCATTAAATGACAAAAATTGTAATTACTAAGTTGGACATTAAGAAATACCTCAGCCATTACTTGTATAACAAAAATGTCATTCAGGTAGCTTCTGCGATTCACTTCCGAGTGAATTTTAACCCGATTCAATTTGAGTTCAAAGTGACTTCGGTGGAAATGCACTCGGAAGTTAATTGCAGAACCTGTCAAATTAAATTGGTTCCCCATAGCATTTTTTAATTGTTAAACAAATTTGGTAATTTTAATGCCTAGTGGAAATCGGGCATAAGAATTTATTCTCATTGAGTTTCTAATCACTCCAAAATTTTCCAAATATCACTTCTTAACTTAAGTAACTCACCACTGATGGCGTGTCCACACTAGCGCCAGCCTTTATCAATATTTTCACAACATCTAGATATCCACCTTGTGCGGCAAAAAATAACGGCGTTGTGCCGGTGGCGCGTCTCGAGTTCGGATCTGCGCCCTGTTCAAGCAGCTCCAGTACACAAGGTGTATGACCGCCTGCGGCCGAAAGAATGAGAGGAGTTGTGCCATCCTGAAAGAAAAGATTTTTGATAACATTTTGATAACAGAGAGAAAAATGTTGTACTAAATAAAACTACTATGTACTCGTAGTAGACTTAATTATGCATAAAGGAAATGTAAACAAAAATATTTGTAAACTTGGGTAACCCGAGGAAAAATCCAGGCAGTAAATTTATTTAACAATTTTTACCATATGAAATTCCGTTAGCATATTTTTTTCTAAAATTTTTATTATTTTCTAAAATATTTTAAATATTCATTACTTGTACATATGTATTTTGATTTATTTATTTTTTTTTTTTACATCGTATTTCACCAATTACGCATTACGTGCAATTACGTAACGTTACCGCAAAACAACGAAATTCATATGAAATTGAAATTTAATCAGTTTCAACAAATGAAATCGAAAGAATACAAATACTCGTTTTGAAAGCGGGCAGTATTGGCAAGTAGTAGTGCATAACAGGCATTAATTTTGCCATGCATATCAAATGCACGAAACCGATTTAATTAAACCACACAAGAAAACATACAAAAATTATTAAAATCACTCAAACGAAACGTAGCAATTGCATTTGTGGTGTGTGTGTGTGTTACTATTACGGCACCTGTTAGTGCACATGCGAGTGGAATATGTGAGTATAAGTGTCAAAATTAAAATGCATGCGCCCAACGGCTGACTGAAGGCGGAGAAGGGTTAAAATCTAACAGATCTTAAGGCTCAGTGCTGGGTAAAGAAATTTCTAGATTTCTATCGGTTTTTTACTAGAAAATTTTCGAACGTTGTGACAATTTTAATTACATATAGATTACAGATACACGAAAATTAATTACAACACATCCTACGAATCATGTCTTATAGGAGTACTGGCTTGAGATTAAAGCAGAGCGAGAAGACCCAGTTGGAGCAAAAAAAAACACCAAACAGCTAAATACCTATTTAGGCATATCCAAATTTTGGCACTAAAAAAATCTAAACAACAATATCGACAAATAATCGATAACATTAAATATGCATATCGAAAACCTTGGTCGAAATATACACATGTATTTGCAAGCACTTCTAAAAATGCCCCTATACATAAACCTATGGGTAGCGATATTACAAAATAAAAGTTTATCGAAAATATTTCAGATCATATCTATATATGTATTTCAATAACGATACATATATTTTATCTTATCGATAAGTTTTTCGATATATCGATATCGCCTGATATATATATTTTCTCTTTCAGTATCGATAAATATATCGAAAAAATTAATTTATCGATTATTATATTTATATATGTAAGTAAAAAGTATATATCATAAAAACATAGATTGTTAAATAAAACAAATCCATAAATATATTGGTTTTGATCGATATATAAATCTCTAACAGTAAAAAATAAATGCATATCTGTGTCATTATCAGTAACGGCCGCTGTAGCTAAATGGACAGAGTGGCGTACCAACGCACAGTGGTTCAAAATTTCAATTGTAGGGCTCCCCCAAAACGAAAAAAAAGTAAAAATAAAATTTTAAATGTTATAAAAAAATGTTCAGCAAAATTTAATTTTTTTTATTTCATTTCTGGAAAAGTGTTGGGCAAGTTGCAAGTGGGAGAGTTCGCGTTAATTTTTAGTAATATATGAAACTCTTTTATTTCCCATTTAGCATGCAGATATGCTCGAAAAGATAGCGAAAAACTCAAAATTTTTTTTCATTCTGGTGAAAGTTTTTTTTATAACATTCCAAAATTTTCTTGTGACATTTTTATTCATTTTGGGGGAACCTTAAAATTGTTTTCAACTAGATTTTATTATGTAACATTTATTAGCTGGAACAGGATAATCGATTTTCCTAAAAATTGCTACTTTTCTGCACTGCTGAAAAATATCGATATATTTATTGATAACGTTAACGACAAATATTTTCAAAGCCTCTCAGTAAAATATTGATTAATAAAAAAATATTACTGCTACCGATAGTTATATCCACAAAAATATCAATAAAATCATCGACAACAATATCGATAAATATTAGCACAAAAGCAAATATTAATTGATGCGCTGTCCAAGCTATCGATAAATAAGCACATGAAAAAATAAATTAACCAAAAACTGCATCGAAAAATATATCTACAATGACATCAATGTACCAAAGTTATAATTGTTTCCGAAGTATACGTTCTGTGTTCCGTCCAGTTAATCTCACTTAGTGCCGCCTATTTTACTGCGCACCACCTAACGTCAACTGGGCCTGTCCAACTAAGAGGACACTTCACTTAATCATCTTTCACAACCATTCATGAGTCATAAAGTAAAGTTTCGCAAAATGCACTTTTTCATCAAGAAATTTACAACTATATGTGAATTATTCAAAATAACCAACAAAAATTCCACGCCTTTTCGTACTTTTCTTTGTCTTATCCGAACAGTGTAAGTACCTTAGTGCAATAAGCGTGATTAGCACATTCGTTTACAAAGCATACGCGCGCATCAATTCGCAATGGGCTACGACCATTCGTAGCCTACGAAATTTCACTCGCCGCTGCATTTGTGCAGTCGCAAAATTTCACACCGCCAAAAGTTGTTACTTCGTGAACTGCATACAAATTAATTTTCGCTTGAGTGCAGTTTTTTGGCATCAGCATTGTCAGTAGTGGTTCGCATCGCCTGCCATCGCATAAGGCGTTCGCCACACGAAATGAGTGCAGACGTGATTCGATTTGCCCACACCTCGTGCAGTTAGAAATGAAAGCGCGCCAAAAGCGTAAACAATAAACGCACCGCCGGCCAAACGTACAACATAATAGATGCATACAATGGTGTAAGCAGGTAGACACAAGCGTATCCCTGCAGAACAAAAAATAACCAACTTGTAGTTAGCCTTTTTGCGGGATTTCTATAAAATATATAGCTTGTAGTTAACTACAAAAAGCTAACTTGAAACTAGTTGAAAAATAATGCAGGAGTTTCTATTTAAATATCCTCATACAAATTTTACTTTGAATACTTTCCGCACTTCACAAATACTTTTTCGAATTGAGGACCTATAAAAGGAAGATCGAAATTTTATATTATCATTTTGAAGTTATGTCGGACGGAGTTCGAATATTATGGGACAGCAGATTATGTAAACAAATATAAATATAATAAAATAAAGTAAATAAATAAAATCACAAAAAAATATTTTGTTTTTATACCGGAGCGCACTTGTGCACAAGGGTATATTAATTTTGTTCACATAACGGTTGTTTGTAACAGCCAAAACGAATCGAGATAGATATAGACAAATGTATACATAAATGATCAGGATGAAAAAAGAAATCGATTAAGCCATGTCTGTCTGTCCGTCCGTCTGTCCGTCTGTCCGTCTGTCCGTCCGTCCGTGTACACGATAACTCGAGCAAAAATTGAGATATCTCAACGAAATTTGGTATGTAGGTTTCCCTTAATCCAAGGTAGGTTGGTATTGAAAATGGGCGAAATCGGACTTTAACCACGCCCACTTCCCATATAACGGTAATTTCCAGAAATACGAAAACTGCGATATTTTAGTAACTACTGAAGATAATTCACTCAAAATTGATATTTACAATAATTTTTAGACGAAAAATAAGAATATTATAAATTTTTGGAAAATGGGCGTAGCCACGCCCACTTATGGTTACATGTGTATATCTTGGTAACCGCTGCACCAATTTCTTCCAAACTTGGCACAGTTGTTGGCCTTCGCACAGCATACCAAACGGCCGAATATTTCTACAATCGGACAATAACCACGCCCACATCCTATATAACGGTAATTTCCCGAAATACGAAAACTGCGATATTTTAGTAACTACTGACTCAAAATTCACTCAAAATTGATATTTACAATAATTTTCTTCCAAATTTGGCACAGTTGTTGGCCTTCGCACAGCATACCAAACGGCCGAATATTTCTACAATCGGACAATAACCACGCCCACATCCTATATAACGGTAATTTCCCGAAATACGAAAACTGCGATATTTTAGTAACTACTGACTCAAAATTCACTCAAAATTGATATTTACAATAATTTTCTTCCAAATTTGGCACAGTTGTTGGCCTTCGCACAACATACCAAATGGCCGCAAATTTTTAAAATCGGACAATTACCACGCCCACATCCCATATAACGGTAATTTAGAGAAATAGAAAATCTTCGATAGATCAGTAAAAATTAAAGCTAATTTATTCAAAATTGATGCTTGCAACAATTCTTTACCAAGAAATACGTTTGTGATAAAATTTTGGAAAATGGGCGTGGCACCGCCCACCTATGTTCACATATATGTATCTCGGTAACCGTTCTACCAATTTATACCAAACTCGGTATGGTTATTGTGCATGCCACATAAAAGCAAAACGTTGAAAATTATTGAAATCGGACTAAAATTGAGGCCGCTTTTCATATAACGGTAAATTTCAGAAATGCTTGAAACTTCAATATTTCGAAATTTAAGGACGCTAATTTACTCAAAATTGATACACCCCGGCTTACCATGTAGCGGTNCTCCGCCCGAACTTAGACTTTCTTACTTGTTCCTATTGATATTTTATGTTCAAAAGTAGTTAGCTACAAGTTAGTTGACAAATAATGGACAAATAATGCAGAGGTAACCACCCTTGACTATTTCGCAGACCTCGCCATAGAAATATAGTTACCTGTCATAAAGAAAATATACAGATACTAGTGACCTTTAGTTCCTTCCTAATTAACTTCCAAGTTAACTTATAGTGAGATACAATTCCCGCAGGGATGTTTTTATATATGTTTATGTACATACATCCATGCATATGTTTATGTTTGTACAATAAGTGACGAGTGAGCGAATTGAGGTGTTGCCGCCAAAAACGGTGTTTGGTATTTGGCATTTACTTTGACATACATATTTATTTGTGCACCAAAATTGGCTTAGACTAGGAAAAGCGAAAGTGTAGGCAATTGTTGGTCAAGTGCCAAAATGGAAACTTTGGTTTATTTAAATAGGA